GTGTTACTGGAGGCCAAGGTAATGCCATCCAGAGTAAGAATCTGCTTAGATACCATATTTCTAAGCTTTTCAGGGCCGAGTACAATAACCTCAGTTTGTTATAAAGAGAGCGATACAGTTATTTCAGAAATGCTCTTCCTTTGCTCGTGCTCCCTCATATATGAATAAAGGTCAGTGTAAACTATAGCATAGACTGAGCATGTTGCTGCAATCCTTCATAGCAAAAATGGTCACTGAAGTTAAGTGTTGTACACAATACCTTGCAAATGCTAACTTTACAGGTCTGGCATGGTTTTAACGAATAACTCTGTCTGCAGTCGAGGGGATGAAGGTGATGGAGATTGAGAAGTGTCGCAATGACATCAAGAAGCTCCGTGAGGAGATCGCATCCAGAAACAACAGGTAACAGCAACACAATGAATTCTCTGCTCCTTTGAGATGACACATTAGTATTAGTGTGCTAAGCCCAGTGATGGTGATAGTTAATGCACTATTGGAACAATTAAAAACAATTAATCAGTCATTATAAAATCAGTCAACTACTATTTGTAATTTGTTTGGCTAATTTAACCTTAATAGTAGTACATGTAGCAGCAACAGTTCTTCTTTTAGCTGCTTTCTTCAGAGGTCAACACAGTGGATCATTTTCCTTCTCCCTACCCGATCCCTGGCATCCTCCATGGTCACACCAATCATCTGCATGTCCTCCTTCAGGACAAACCATCCAAACTTGCCTCTTTTGCTTAATATCCAATTTGCTCAACCTGAGCTTGTCATAGTCGGCTGTGTGGCAGGCAGGAGTGGTGGACCCAAAATGCAGGATTCTTAGGAAACGAGGTTTCAACTGAAAATGCAGCTTTATTGTTGGAACAAAACATCAAGATAAAAAAAACTCACAAAAGCAAACACAACTCTAAACTGAGATGCAGGAGGACTGGAAATCATGAACACACAGCAAGTGAAGGTGAACAGACATCAACAACGCAACGCTGACACAAAGACACACTGGGCTTAAATACACTGAGGGAGTCATCAAGGAATTAGAGACAGAAGGGGGACACAGCTGGGAGAAATAAGACCTAACGAGACAGGGAGAGCAAAGCCGGAACACTGACATCAGACAGGAACAAGAACCTTCAAAGTAAAACAGGAAACAAAACACACTTTACTAAGACACGGACTAAACAGAGAGAGACAGACTTGACACTGTCCAAAGCCTACTAAATAATACTCATAATCAAAACAGTATCACTGATAAATCAAATCATAATCTAGAAAAACACCAAAGCATGAAAAACAGAAAGCTGGGTCAACATGACCCAGAACCGTGACAGAGCTGTCCCTCTGACTTAATGTCATGGAGCAGCAACACTAACAGAAATAATTAGGAGTTCATGTAAATGATGAAGGTTATGCTAATAAAATGGTCTTTTGTATTATGATTAATATTACAGACATAAACTGTTGTGATGTTTTTTTTCCTTTTCAGTAATTTTTTGGATGACAACAAGAAGCGGAGTCCTTGCATCCCCTCTGAACCCAAAGTAAGGCTTTTACTCCATTTTATGTCCGTCACACCTCCACAGTGCTCAAATCACAAATCCACAAATGGAGATGAAATTTGTCAAGACAAAATTGAATGTGTCTAATTTTCAGAGATTGGCCACCTTTATTAACACTGATCAGGATAGAGTCGCTGTCTCTTAGTTTGAATGTGTAAAGAGTACAATGAGTGTGGATCGTATTTATGATCCATGCTTACTTACTATGCACCCCAAGCCAGATAGATGTAAACAGGGTTAACTGCAAATCAGCTGCCTGCAGTGCATGCTGTCACAGCAGACCTGTGGAGGCAGTGAACCCACATCACCCACAATATGTGTCTCTCCTCTCTTCTTCTCTTTGTGACTTTGTGTCCTGTTGTCCTTTGTGTGTGTGTCAAGTGCCATCTGTCTAAGGAGACAATGGAAGCTCTTAGATTGCCTACATTTGATGCTTGGCAGTGGGAGCCCAATGAGGTGAGATTAATACATTGATTCTTTTATTTATCAAGGACGGGTGATTAGCCAGTGAATGTGATTTTAACAGTTTTCTGACTGTTAACTAGTTAGCACTTGTTTTTGAGTCATGGCTTAAAGTTAGAAAGTAGACGGACATTATCACTTAAAGAGAAGTCCACAGAGTTATCACCACCTGACTAGAACTGTGCCTTACTCGGGATGAGCAGTTTAATAAATCTTTCTTGTTCCCATTTTGATTGTGATGTTCCCTATGTTTCCAACAATGTAACCTGCTTTACAGAAGTTTAGTCAGTTATGCTAGGACAGTAAACATCCCTGGATCAGGTCCAAAGCAGAAGATTTTATGGTAAAACTTGAGATCAAAATTCTTTCCTATGCCTGAAAACATAATAATAATAATAATAATAATAATAATAATAATAATAATAATAATAATAATAATAATAATAATAATAATAATAATAATAATGTATCCAAAACATAAACAAATGCACTTCATTTAAAAAAATAATAATAATATAAATGACTATATAATTATACATAATTATATATTTATACTTAGTTTTACGTTAAAATTGTTAAAGGACAGTAACATCTGTTGAATTTTAAGAATAAGCCAAAAATAACATCCTATACTCTGTACTAACAAACTCCTTTGCTGTCCAGATGCTGAGCTGTCTGGAACATATGTACCATGACCTGGGCTTGGTCAGAGACTTTAATATAAATCCCATCACACTGAAAAGATGGCTGGTGAGACCTTGACCCCGTACAGTTGGCTCTACCTTGTTTCTATAAAATAAACCTTACCTGAACAGAAAATAAAGAAATAATTTCCAAAAGCTAATATTTATGTTTAGGGAATTTCTGTGATGAAACTGCTGCTTTCTCTCTCACTGTAGCTGTGTATCCATGACAACTACAGGAATAACCCCTACCACAACTTCCGCCACTGTTTCTGTGTCACCCAGATGATGTACAGCATGATCTGCCTCTGCAGCCTTCAGGTAATGTGATTCTCAGAGACTTTACAACGAGTTTTCTTCCGCTGTACCCGTCATGGCCCTTGGGTCGTTGACCCAGGATTTAGAGTTTGGGGATATTTAGGGGTTCTCTGATTTTGTTTATATTTGTTTTATAGCTTTGTATTCTGAAATCTCGACATGTTGTCTTTTTGTTATGGTATTATGGTTATATTGCAGCTATCTAATTCAGTTAAGTTCAGTTACATTTTATTTTTATAGCGCCAAATCGCAGCAACAGTTGCCCCAACAATCATATGAGCCCCTATGTTCAAGTTCAAGTTCAAGGTTCTTTATTTGTCACATGCATAGTTATACAAGTATAACACACAGTGAAATGTAGCCTGACACGCTCCTCGACATGTGCAAAAAAATTGGGG